ATATATATAAAAAAGTATTTTTAAACATTCATTTGTATATGTTATGTTTCGGCTTGGGTCCAATTGACCACGGTCAACTGACGTTGGCTGTAAATCACCACAGTCTCTTACGTTATGGCAAGCTTCTGGGCCACTTCCTGGAGTCGTGGAGTTCTGCCATTACGAGTACGGTACATTTCATTAAAGCGTGTTTGTAAAAAAGTATTTTTAAATATTACTTATTTTTTCTTGCTGTAGAGCGGCAAGCTCTTATCTGCTAATGTTACAATTTCACCTTCTGATGCGTTTCGCCAACAAGCGCAAAGTTAACGCCACGCGACTGACATTGTTGACATTGCTGCTGCTGCTTCTGACGCTGTTGTGGAATTGCGACCTCCCCCTCCAATCGCCTGATTGACAGGAGATTCAACGGCACCTATGATCGAGTGCATTTGATTTGTAACAATTCAGTACCAAATCTTGACTTAAAGCTTTCGTGACTGCAGAATTTCATATTATTTTGGTCTTTCGGTAAAGTCACGTAGATTTGTTTGTTATTTTCTTTGAACCTATCTACGTGACTTTACCGAAAGTCTCAAAGAATATATCACTACCAAGTAACGTTTAATACATCAGATGATAACTAGCAACAACAAACATTTATAATGACTCGTCAATGAAATCAATTAGAATTGTTTTTAATTAATTACAAATAAGACAGTCGTGTCATTTCGATTCACAGATTTTGGAATCTTTCTTGGGGCTGAAGTCGACTCCATTTCGGAATAGCAAATCCATTGTTCCGGGTTCGACTTCCCATCCCTACTTTTCATGTGCTATGAAGAAGGGCCATTGCCAGAAACGTCTTTTAATATATATGTTAATCCCAATACAAATGCGAATATACGTACTTTTTTGTAACATCATTTGGGTCAAATTTTTTGGTTTATATTTTAATGTTTTCCATAATAGAGGTTTTTGGGTTAGATCGCGTAAATATATAAATGTGTCGTTAAAACCCGCCACCACCCGACACAGCCAACTAGTAAGGGTTGTCACGTTAACAGAACATGCCAATTCGTCACTAGTACAAACAAAAAAGCTCTGTTATGGATGATATTGGTCGCGAAAGCCTACGTGTTAAACTTTAATATGTTTATATCGTGTTTATTTATTTATTAATGTCTCTCTGCTGGCCGAATCGCCCTTGAAGAAGAGCTGCATCGCAAAATGGATAATTTAGTCGGACAATAAACTTCTGGTTGTGAATCCTTTGAAGGTCACACACAGTGTTCATTGTTTTTTTCGGTAAAGTCACGTATGTAGAAATACCATAAAATTATATTAAAATAAAATAAATCAATTCCGACGTTTCGACCGCAACACGAGCGATCTTCATCAGGTGTAAAAAAAAAAAATAGCACATAGGGTGACATCAACGCAACACATAGAGAGCGTTAAACTTGCACGGAGGTAAATACAACAAGAAGATGAGAGACGAGAATTCAACAAACCTAAGAAAAAAATTTACGTGATGCAAAACCAGTCAGGCCAACGACACAGTTAGACACTTGCCTGGCAGACCACGAATTTCAGAAGAGTGCTAAATTGCGTGTTCATCCTGTGGGTTGAACATACCAGCATAGACAGAGTGAACAAATACGAGGTATAAGATAGCAGAAATACATATACAGGGACACAGGAGGTAAGAAGAGGAAAGACGGACAGAGAAGTAAGAAAAAGGGGTTGGTGGGATGAACAGACAGAGGCTTAAAATAAGTAGTAGAGGTGGGAGGATGGGGCCGAAGAAGCAGAAGAGGGGGGAGGGGCAGGAAAATGTAAGGGGACGCAATTAGTTTAGTACAGAATTGTAAAGGTAACTTCCCCGTAGAAGTGTGTTAATAAAGAATTAAAGCTTTCGTGACTGCATAAATTACTCATTGTTTTTTTTTCGGTAAAGTCACGTATGTAGAAATACCATAAAATTATGTTAAAATAAAATAAATCAATCGCGACGTTTCGACCGCAACACATTTGTTTTTTACACCTGATGAAGATCGCTTGTGTTGCGGAACGTCAATCACGAAACGTCGTGATTGATTTATTTTATTTTAATATAATTTTATGGTATTTCTACATACGTGACTTTACCGAAAAAAACAATGAGTAATTTATGCAGTCACGAAAGCTTTAATTCTTTATTATTCACACACAGTGTTGTTGAATTATTTGAGTTGCGTCTTCTTGTCGTACGGCTGATGTCGACGCAGAGCGACAACTACAATTTCACATTCAGGTGGTCAAGCCAGACAACAGTGTCAAGAGCAGTGGAGTGGATCTCCGTGATGTCTCCTTTGTATTTGTGGATGGGCCATTGCGCCGTTATATGTTGTGCGGTCTGTTTTGGACTGACCACAGTCGCGTACTGGATAGTTTTTAACTTTCCATATTTTGTGCATCGGGGTTTCGCACCTGCCATGGAATGTTGTTCAGTGGATGCGATTTCGGGTGGACCATGAGCTTCGTGGAAGATCAAACCCAGTGGGATCTTCTGCTGTTGGGTTTTTCACAAGGTGGCGTTATTGAGTTATATTGAACTCCATTCAGCTATCCAAGCGTCATCGGGGGTTGAACTCGCATTCTGAAAAAGAGCTGTACAGCAGAACCCCTCTTAACGATGGAAAGTGATTCCAAGAAACCGGACAATAAGTGATTTGGTCGTTAAGCGAGTATAAGAAATACATGTTAAAGGATTAATTCGTTCCGATAGCATAGAAAGTTACTCTTTTTCACCTAAAAAAACGTACTTTTAAACATTTAAACAATGGGTATAAATGCATAAAGATACTAATAGCATTAAAAACATAATATTTAAAGAAACATGGTTGATCAATGTATTAATTAATATTTGCTGTACCTTCAACAGCCCGTCGTTAACCGGGGAATGGTCAGTAAGCAAACACTTTGGGCTCTATGAAGGCATTACACTACACTATACATTACACTATACACTACACTACTATACACTACACTACTATACACTACACTACTATACAGTACACTCTACACTACACTACTATACACTAAACTACTATACACTACACTATATACTACACTACTATACACTACACTATACACTACACTACTATACACTAAATTTCGATTTAAAGCTTTCGTGACTGCAAGGATTAATCTTCTTTGGTTCTTTCGGTAAAGTCACGTAGAATGAGAATAAAATAATAAATTAATAAAAAAATAACACAATAAAATTCTCACGACGTTTTGGCCATAACACAAGTGGCCTTCATCAGGTGAAGGGACGAGACTGTGGAGGACAGCGCTGGAGCGAACACAGCCAAGCTCAGACTGCGACCTTTAAGCTGTGTGAGAAGAAACAGAGCGCCTTGACAAAGGAATTAGCATAACAATTAGCATTTAATTGTTAAAGTCAAAGCCTACGCATCCACAGAGGCACCTAGTACAAATCAAACAGGAGAATTTAGCATTGAAATAACTGAGGGATTAGCTTGTGACTGGTCATAGAAATAGCTATACACTACTATACGCTACACTACTATAAACTACACTACTATACACTACTATACACTACACTATACACTACTATACACTACACTACTATACGCTACACTACTATACACTACTATACTCTACACTATACACTACACATTGGGCTCTATGGAGGCACTACATTACACTATACACTACACTATACACTACTATACACTACACTATACACTACACTACTATACACTACACTATACACTACACATTGGGCTCTATGGAGGCACTACACTATGCTATACACTACTATACACTACACTACTATACACTACGCTACTATACACTACACTATACACTACACTACTATACACTACACTATACACTACACATTGGGCTCTATGGAGGCACTACACTATTCACTACACTATACACTACCATACACTACACTATACACTACACTATACACTACTATACACTACACTATACACTACACGACTATACACTATACACTACTATACACTACACATTGGGCTCTATGGAGACACTACACTACACTATACACTACTATACACTATACACTACACTATACACTACTATACACAACTATACACTACACTATACACTACTATACCTACACTACTATACACTACACTATACATTACACGATACACTACACTACTATACACTACACTATACACTACACTGCTATACTATACACTACACTATACACTACACTACTATACACTAAACTATATACTACACTATACACTACTATAGACTACACTATACACTACACTACTATACACTACACTACTACACACTACACTACTATACACTACACACTACACTACTATACATTACACTATACACTACACTTCTATACACTACAGTGACTACACATTGGGCTCTATGAAGGCCCCGTCGTTAAGCGATTAGTCGTTAACAGGGGTGGTCGTTAAGAGGGGTTCTACTGTATAGCTCATTGGGCCTTAGCTGGTAAACATAAAACAAATCGTAATCGTAGAAGTTAACGCGCATGATGGGTCCAAGTGCTTTCAATTTTAGTGCTTTGCAATGAACCAATAGGCGCCGAGAGAGATGGGTGGGGGGGGGTGAGAGGGGGCAAGGGGGTGAAAGGGGGGAGGGGTGAGAGGGGGCAAGGGGGTGAAAGGGGGTGAAAGGGGGGAAGAGAAAAGGGGGGCGTGGTACTTGCATGCAAATGAGGCGTTGTCGTGGGGCGGGGCTTCCCCGCACCCGGAAGCGCGTGGCTTGCCGGCTCGGTGGGGACCCAGGACGAGGTGAGAGTGCCCCTCGCGATCCACTCCGCACTCGCGGCGAGCGACAGACCGAGACGTTTGACTTCGCGCTCTTTTTACTTAGGCGATCATAATTATTTTAAAAACCCCACACACACACGCACACACACATAAAACGGCGAATGTCATCTCGAGAGTGCCATCCTGCTCTTCAAATAGCCTGGAAGTAACTTGAGTCTTCCACCCCCCTCCCGTGTCTCTGTTTTTCTCTCTCTCTCTTAATGAACGAGTTCGGTGCGAATTCGCGTGCGATGCTTAAATTGACGGGGCTTAGTCGAGACGCCGCACACACGCTGCTGTTATTGTTATTGCCTTTGTTTACGTTACATGCATACGATTCCCGGCGTGATGCTCGCAGGGATATCAAGTAAAACAAAGCAGGAATGTCATCGTTTAGCCGTATTCCTGCGGTCGTAATTGTGTGTCGCCGAAAGCGGCGATGTTTGTCTGTCATTGTTGATGGATTTGCAGACTTGCGCGCCGCCCTCGACACGAGTGCTCAGCGGTCATCGACCGCTTTAAATCCTTAACCCTGGGCTTGGAGTTTGGGTTCGCTTTCGCGTGAAATTGACCGCGTTAAAGAGGCATTCTCGTTTGACGCAGTGCGCACCAGCGCATTGTGCTAGCCGGTGCGGGAAATCTGCCGAACGCTGCCCTGTGTGTGTGTATATACGTGTAGGGACGTGTGCAGTGGCCAGTAATGGCAAAATGTAGAAGGAGACGGGACCTTCATCCAGCAGTGGATTGAGAATGGTTGTTGACGGGTGCCTTTTGGCCAGTGTGAGTGTTTTTTTTTTTAAAAGCCGGTATTCGCCTTTTTACACATGGCTGGATTAATAGCAACGTGTATAGTCATAAGTCCAGATTAGTTGGCCAGAGAATGGCTTTCAGTTGATGTGCGGCGGTGGATTCATTGAATACCGTTTTGAGTTCAGCGGTTCATTGCTGTGCGGTCAGTCCATGGTCTCGGCGTGTTTTCACATTTGCTCACCGCGCTTTCTTTGAATGTCCACTTGTGAAGGTGGTGTGTCTGTGAGCTGTCGTGAAAGTTGAGGATATTATTTCATGTGGACCATAGTTTTCAGTGTGGATTCAATCCTGAAGCCTGCTTATTGGGATCCGCGATCCAGACCCTCGTTACGGATATTGGTGTTCGCCAACATTCTGGAGCTGCTGATTGCGGAGATGGGAGTTTTACTGTTGCTTTAAACACACAGGCTGACGACTCGACATCCACGAACCGACGACGACCACCAGCAGCAGCACCATCAAGGCAAGGAGACGAAGCTCGCAGCAACATGCATTCGGGAAAGTCCTGCATCCGCCTGAGGGTCCTCACTCTCAACTGCTGGTAATATTAAGCGTGACATGAAACAATGGCTTTGTGTGCTATGAAGAATATCCATTGCCCGAAACGCCCCCTCATGTGTAATTTTCCTTTCAAGATAGTATTATTGACGAATGAGTGGAGGTTTGTTATTTATGAATAATGAAGTACATTGTATGTAAATAACAAAAGAGTACATTTTAAATGGCTCTTTGGCACTTGCTTTGCTGTTTCCTTCGCTTTCTACGCTCAACAGAGTCATGAGACCATCTCTTTGTTGAGTAATCTGGACGCTATCTAGCCTTGTTTTTATTTATTTATTTTATCAAGTTAATGCGTTGGCAGAATGTATTGCTGACTTATTCAGAGATTTTGTGGGTGGAAGTGTTTTTTCACAATGGCACTCCAAAACAAGGCCACAAAACCGACTGAAACGTCTAGTTGCGTGTAATTTTTGTGTTTTTTCCCATGTACCCAGGTCAGCCTGCGTCTTTTTTTGTATTTGATATCATTTATTTATGAATTTTTGATTTAAAGCTTTCGTGACTGCAGGAATTCATATTCTTGGTTCTTTCGGTAAAGTCACGTAGAAGGGAAACAATAAAATAATAAAAATATAAAACAATACAATTCTCACGACGTTTCGACTGCAACACAAGCAATCATCATCAGGTGTGAAAACCACAGCAAGAAAATTTGAAAAAAGGTGGCGGTTTTTTTAACGTTAGCACCACGGAGAGCGATTTGGCAGTTTGTTTAGAAGGACGAGTCCATCTATGTTCGGAAAAGGAGTGGGGAGACGAAAATAATGGATGCGGTCTGAAAGCCACCGTAAGCGTGAACAATCATTTAAGACCCGAAATGGTTTATCAAATCCTTCCAATGATTGCTAAGCCAGAATACATCTTCTCGGTTGAAATTGTCTCTGTGTTTGTATGTGGATAGCCTCATGAACGAATCTCTCATGGTAGCCAGATGGCTTGCAAAGAACCTCTGTCTTGGAGAAGTCAATGTCATGTGAGCCTACTCAATTATAACAGTGATCTGCCACGGCCGAGGTGTTGGTCCTACCGTGTTTTAGGTTTGCTTTGTGTTCACGGATGCGGTCCGAGACATGTCTTTTGGTTTCTCCAATGTAACTACTACCACAGAGGCAACTTAGTTTGTAGACGCCAGGGTACTGTATGTCCGGAATCACATCTTTTACAGATGGAACCAGATCACTGATTTTATGTAATGTGTTGAATCGGACCTGGATCTTGTGTTTATTCAAGATTTTGGAGATATTTTTTGTGATCCCCGCAATGTAGGGTAAAGTGATGGTTTTGAATGGCTCCTCAAGAGGGTCCTTCTTCATGGTTGGAGTGATAGCTTTGCGGATTGTGTAGTCGGAGTAACCATTAGACTTAAGAGCTTTGTATACGTGCTTGAGTTCACTGGCTATGTGTTCCTGGTCGGATATGCATTGGACTCTATGGTGCAGAGTCTTGATGAGGGAATTCTTCTGGGATGGATGGTGGTGGGAATCTGGTTTCAGGTAAGCATCCGTATGGGTAGCTTTCCTGTAGACAGAGTGGCTCATTGAACCATCAGGTCTCTTTTTTATTAGGACATCCAAAAAAGGTAGCTTTCCATCTTTTTAGACTTCCATGGTAAATCTGATGGCTGGGTGTATGGAATTGATGTGGTGAGGAATTGGTCTAAAGCAGGCCGGCCATGTGGCCAGATGACAAAAGTGTCATCCACGTACCTCTTCCATAAGGTTGGGCGCAGAGTGGCAGTTCTGGATGGCGTCATTCTCAAATCTCTCCATGAAAATGTTGGCTACAACCGGAGATAGGGGGAGCCCATTGGGGTGCCCTCAGTTTGTTTGTAGAAAGTTCCATTCCAAGTGAAGTATGTATTGGTTGAGCAGTGTCTCATCAGGGGGGGGTACCTCAATGTTTAGTCCTTGATGAACTAAGTCTTCAATGATTGCGATGGTGTCAGGTACAGGAACTTTGGTGAATAAGGAAACTACATCAAAACTGACAAGCAGTTCGTCTGCGGACAGGGAAATACCCGTGACTTTCCCGAAAGAACCAAGAATATTTATTTCTTATCTAAGTCCATTCCTTTTGTGTGAGATGAAAGAACAGGCTGTTTGTTTTTAATCTCAGATTAAAATGACATGAAAGGGGTGAATCGCGTGTTCCTTATCAAAACAGCTGTATATGTTTCTTTAAAATACAAAAGTGATTTTCAGTTTCATCCTTAATGGACTCAACTATAAATAGTTAACATTTCCATGCCTATCAGCAATCATCTGTGCATCGCATACAGAATTGCCGTGCAAATCAATAGCTGCGTTGCATGTAAGAGTGAAGGTTGTGGAACCTCTGCCATAAAGCACCATCAATGACCTTGTGACTATAATTACTTTGCACGTCATTGTATCTACAGCTATTCAATTTAATCATTCATATCAGCGTTTTACATTTGACATTGTTCGTAAGTGGGGGAGGACAATTTGTTGAGTTTCATCACTGTGTGTAACGTCGTGCAGCAAATTGAAATGTAAAGCTTGTATGAAATCCATTCTTTCTCCAACAGGGGCATTCGATACCTAAGCAAGCAGTGCAGCGAACGCTATGACCTCCTGCAGAAGCGCCTACTCGCCGAAAAGTACGACATCGTGATGCTACAGGAGGCAAGTTCTTTGTGGTCCTTTAAGTCGGACGTCGAGCCTATCCAGTGAAAGCACCGCGTGGGCACAAGACGGTCAGGGGCACCTTCATCGCTCTGAGTTAGCCTAAACTCTGCCTTCATTTCTGCACAACAGGTGTGGAGTGAGAAAGATTACTTGCAAATAAAGGACAGCACCAGGGAGACCTACCCACACTCGCATTACTTCAGGAGGTAACAATTACAAGGGTTTACTTTAACCGTTGCTTGCGTATAGCTGTGGTGGGGAGCCTGCATGTCATCTTTGTGTGTTTTTTTTTCCTATTGTATATATATAGAACTTCTTTCGCACAGTACATAGCCAATCATGCTAATCGGAGGTGCTATGAATTGCTGTAATGAGATTTACTGAAAAAAATTGCTAGTTTCGGATACGTATGGAAAATGGCAGATGCATTTTGTATAATAGCAAGCAAAGTAGGAATGAGTTTATATTAACTACCTCTCTCAATCAGTCTTACGTCTAGTGTTTAACACTCCGAGGCCCTGTATGACATGGTAAAACATGTTTACGATGCTACAATGTTTTGCACAGTGGAGTCATTGGGAGTGGCCTGTGCATCCTCTCCAAACACCCGCTCGTGGACACCCTGCTCTTCAAGTATTCCGTCAACGGCTACCCATACATGGTAACCTGCATTTATCAATCACGCTTTATGCAAAAATGGAAAAATAAACTTGCTGATGTCAGCATCTGCACTGCTGCCAAGTTTTTAAGAAGCAATTGCTCAGTGTGTGCTCGCTCAGGCAAAGTGCACTGCAGCATAGCACTTAACAAATAAAAATGACAAGATCCAAGGACCTGCCTTTTAGTGCCCTGGGAATATGCATTATTATCACCAGCTGTGATTACCCCCACTGCTAGATGAAGGCTTTGCTAAGCTGGGGTCCCCTCCATGATCATCTAGCTCCTGCACACGAGCTGGTTTCATCGTTACACCTCCGCGGTGGACATCTTCTCGGGCACGTTCTCTCCTTTGGCTGCCACTGTGCTTAGTGTCTCGGCCAGTAGCCTTAATATTCCCCTGTGACGTGTACTGCCCACGTGCACTTCTCTTTACAGTCAATATGAGACCTGGCTTGGGTATGTTATCTGATCCTATTTCAGTCACTTCATGTTGGTTGTCCATTTTTGTCATCATATTACATACAAAAACAATAAAAGATTTAGCAATTCGGGGGACATTCAATTAATCTCCTTTGCCACATTTCATTGGGCATGACTGTTCGTGGCATTAACTATAATACACCCTTTCTCTTGATTTATTCTTCAAATAAAATATTACATGTGTAGAAAATATATGCCATACTCTTTGTTTTTTTCCGATAAAGTCATGTAGGTAGTCATGTAGGTAAAACCTACATGACTTTACCTGGTCGGATCTTTGAGTGTCTCCCACCCCTTGTGATGCAGATTTTGTCTTGCTCTTCCAGTTTTCCTCCCACAAGCCAAACAACTTCATAAATATATTTGGTTAAACATGTCGATGCAGAACCCCCTTGCAAAGCAGTTGAGGCAGTGAGGCTTAGCCACATGATTGAAGGGCATTAGTAGCATGCGTTAATCTGTGCCAATGTGCACACGCTGTTGTGTTGCAGGTAAACCATGGAGACTGGTTTGGAGGCAAAGCCGTTGGCTTGGCTGTGATTGACATTGGAGGAATCACCGTCAACACTTACATCACACATGTAGGCACTTTGTTCATGTCGGGTTGAAAAGTTCGAGCCAATGTGTACACGGTGTTGTGTTGCAGGTGAATCATGGAGACTGGTTTGGAGGGAAAGCCGTTGGCTTGGCTGTGATTGACATTGGAGGAATCACCGTCAACACTTACATCACACACGTAGGCACTTTGTTCATGTCGGGTTGAAAAGTTAGAGCGTTCCTTGAGTGCTGCTGTTATGCAACTTTAAAAGTAATACGTAGACATCGTATGTTTTATTCTATACGTTAAATTGCTGTTTTTTGTCAAATAAAGGAACACTATGAAGGTTAAAAAGGATGCATCTCAGGTTGAAAACCCACTTCTTTAGAACTACTTTTGTGTTTAGTTTGTTGTCCTTCCCCCGCTCTTCCAATTAGTACAGTCGGCTAAGTATGGCCCCAAAGAATTTCAATATACATACAACAAATAGCGTTTGTTTTTTAGATACTTATCCTATGTTGGAAGCTTCATTAATGAAGACTTTTGTCTTTTGAGTTTCCTCCCTTTAAATCTCCACATCTGCTATGGCATAGGCAACACGAATTCTATCGATATTTGAGAGAGTTCAATGTGTTTGCCATCATCTCGGCTGTGATGGTTTAAAATGCTTTTGTTATACGTTGTTGAAAACCATCGAAGCTCTTTGTTACCTTGTGCAGAAAGAATACGTCATGAACATTTCAACCACACTTAACTGTCTATAGTCTTAACTGATTATAATGCTTTAATACGGTCATGAATTATATTATAGACACCCCTGTAAGTAAGTTTAAAACTCATTTGAGACAGCCCAGGAGTCGAGGTATGTTTCTAAAAGAGCTGTTTGTTTTGAGTACGCATTTAGGCGTCTCAAATCTCCAAAATACTTGTGCAGTTGAGTTTGCATTCTTGTACTCTAATTTATGGCCTTTTTTTAAGTTCCTTTAGGTTCCTTTTGCCTAAGTGTAACTCACAAATCGAAAGCACAGGCTATCTTTGTCACTTGATGTACACAAGTCAACATGAACAGACAAACACAATGTTAATTCACCGTGAATTTCCCCAAAACGATGGTTGTACCTGAAGGGATAGATTAGTTACCTGGTGATGTATGTATTTATATTGAACTCCTTTGCTTTATTGTTGTCCCGGTTTTCTTGGTTGCCGTAGCTGCATGCAGAGTACAACCGCGAGAAGGATGCCTACCACCCCCACCGTGTGCTGCAGGCCTGGGAGCTTGCCCAAGTCATCCGGTACATGCCACACACCTGCTCCCCATCACACACTGTCACACACCTACGCAGTCACGAACAAATAACAGGACGATGCTAAGTTAGCAGCAGACTTTGGTGCAAAAGGTGTAAAGACTCTCAAGACGCCTTTGATTTGGACGTGCGGGAATAATGCAGGCCAAAAATGTACCATCGATGTCCCTTGCACTGTAACATGGAATGAGCAAGAAGTAGAGACCATTCACACAAGAGGTGCAGTGGTAGAAAAAAGGACGACCTAAAAGATAACAACGAAGGTGGTATGGGAAGTAATCGCTGTGCTCAGGGACGAGCAGTGGAAGGATTCTTGCAGCCTCATCGTCAGCCTCCATGTGACAACTGACAGACGAGGTAGAAAAAGAGAAGTTGCGGACTATATGCTGAACATCAGTCTCGGCTGCAGATTACAATCAAGAAACATAACCTTTTGCGATATTCATTTGTACCTTGCTGCCCTTGTTTTAGTGTGTGTTGTAACGTAAAAAAAAATATTGATGTGAACTGACACGTTACCCTTTGTTGCCTAAAAGGCTGAAATTTTGATGCCGCAAATGTTGGGGGAATTGTAATTTCACATTTGTAGCGGTCCTTGATATCAGTTTTTCTAGCCTGGTTAACATTTACAAATTATTCGATTTTAAGCACTTGCAGTTGTGCTTCTTCTTTGGATTTGTCAACTGGCTTTGTGTTCGCTGCTGAAGGAATTGCAGTCATACACAAGGTCTCTGCAATGCACTCCATTGCTAAGAATTAGAGTTGAGGAGTTGTGGGGGTCAATTAAGGCAAACATCCAGACAACACTGGATCTGGTCTCGTGCACATGTGGCTCTGCATTTAGAAGCAGGAACAGGAGCGCTCGCAGTCACAGTCATGACTTATCCATGAGCAATTGATAGTTTCCCATCACATCGGTTCGATTTCACCAACATGTCAAATAATTTATAACTCTGTTGGCCAAAGTACACTCAGGTGTTCATTGTGTTTAATCAAGGATTTTAATTCCAGGCAATGTAATAGGATAAGTAACGGCATACTAAACAATCAGAGACTATGATCTAATCAACCAGAATGCACCCAATCTCAGCGGATCTTCGAAGCGGCGTTGAGCCTGGATAGTGCTTGGAAGGTTGACCACCATAAACAAACAGGTCATAGGACTGTAGGGCTATTTGGTGGGTATAAGAGCGAAATGTAGCCAAATCCATGTTGTACTGTACTTCTATGCTGCCACATCTTTGCTTACCACATTCACAAACCTGCACTTTCTAACATGATAAACTATTATTAAGCAATGGATGAAAAGTTGGGGTTTTTAAAGCTGAACCTTAAACGCCTGTAATGTGTAAGTCATTGCTTTAGCAACAGCACAGTAACTGCATATATATAGTCATCGTTTTGATAATATGCTCCATACACTTACAAACAACACACTAATGTAATAATTTCATACAAGTTGGGCCTGTTAACATATTTTTCACAGAGCTACCTTCACCCCCAAGTACATTCTGTATATTAAATGTACTAATTTTACCCGCCCCTGCCCCCCCCCCTCACCGCCCACCGCAGTCACACGTCGCACGTGGCCAATGTGGTTCTCCTTGGAGGAGACCTCAACATGCACCCGGGGGACCTGGGAAATCGGTTGCTACGCTCGGTGGCCGGCCTCACCGACTCGTATGAGAAGGCCCAAAACTATGAGGCAAGGCGGCCATCTTCCCCCACAACGATTGTCTACTCCCCAGACTGGCCGCCATTTAAAGAAAATACTCATAACCCAAGTTAAATTATATGTAAATGTTCCCAAGCTATCTGCATATCCGTGTAATCTTGTGGGTCTACTTTATAATATGCATGCAACGGTACATAGATTAATTGATGAAAAATGTTGTTTCGCTTATGATACATATGTCGAATATTTGGTAGTCAATTATGAATATTATTTTGCAAATTGTATGCTCACGTTATCTTAATGTTAATGAAGTGAACAACAAACATTGTGTTTGTATTGGTTAAAATGAGACAAATATAATTTGACATTATATTGCCACAATGATTTATCATATCTCTGTGTGGGGGGTTAATTATTACATGCCTAGTTTCTACTGATGTGGAACCAGTAAAGTTAGTTGCACATATCTGTAGATTTCTGCAGTACACTCTTAGGGGCAGAGAGTGGTTTGCATTCAGTAGCTTGGTTGAGGTTTATCTTTACCTGTATGCCAGGTAATGAAGAACTACAAATAATAAGAGTTGAAATGTTTGCAAAGGCGCTGTTGTTCAATGTGAAATGATAACTGTCTGATGGTATGTTGTAGGGGCCACAGGATGGGTGCACGCTGCTGCCACAGAACTGCTTTACCTGCAAAAATGAGCTGGCTACCTTTCCAAATGGAATTCGCATCGACTACATTTTGTACAAGGTATTGCCTGCCCCGCATGACCACCCATTCAGCAGCCTGTCCTTAATTCCACATCGTTGTTCAGCCTTACCTAAATGCCTGCAGCGGAGCAGCTTTTTAACAACTGCTAAAGTGGAAATTATTAGCTGTGTCCGATCTGTCATATCTCTCGATGACTCTCATAAAAATAACCAATATAAATCACAGTTTAGTTTAAAGTTCCATTCCTATGGGGACATTGCCTTATAGAAACCATCTAAATTGATCAAAGGGTTTTCCAAATTTGGCATTAAAAAGTGTCATTTGTAAATGCGTTTTTGACCAAGGTGACGTCACATTCCATATGCGCGACTCATCTCCCCACAAGGTTACGCGCCGTGTCACTTAATGCACCTAATTTTTAAAAGATGAAAATAAATTCCATGGAATTTTAAAGGGACTTTTATTCAGTATTTCATAATCTCCATTATGTGAACTTGAGTAGTAATGGAAAATAAATATGTATTCTGGTATTTTATATGGCATAAATTGTATTTTGTATAGTTGGGAAAATATTTTTCATATATCACTTATCAATATGGCCCTTGCCATGCGAGTTAGAACCTCACCGATGTTGCTCTTTCCTCTGGCACGGCAGGGTGTGGCCGGGTTTTCCATGAGCTGTGAAGCCGTCCACACGACCACAGGGAAGAGCATCGATGGACAGGGGTTGCCTCTCTCGGACCACGAGTCTGTGACTGCCACCCTGCTCATACAAATTCCCGATCCCAAACTAGCCAACCCATCTCCACCAGGTGAGTACAACAAGGGTTGGGAAAGGGCCAGCAAAGTGGCTTGTGTCATCTTCTCCAATGGCTGCTGTTGCACTTTTACCACTTGTGCCTCTATTTTTCCAAATGTAAGTCTCATAGATAGCCTATATTTACATTTTTAATTACAATATAGATATATCAATGTTAATGCACATTCTTCAATCATATCTGCACAAGTGATAACTCATGGGTGCCAAAGTAAAGACTGTGCAGCTTGTTTCGATGAATATTGTGCATAGTTTTGTTGTGACCCGTTTCCAAAGTTGTTTGACCACGAAATGGGCAGCTAAAAATGCAAAGTTCCATAAATTATTATGGCAAGAATGGTCAAGCAAACTTATTTAAATTTAGAATTTAATAAGATTCAGAAATTCAACTTGGGTTGCTAGCACATGTCATAAGAATAGAGTAAAACTACAGAAGAAAGGTGGTGAACATGGAAGCAACAGGGTGGAGACCGAGTGACAGACCGAGGAGGTGATGTTGGATTGTGGAGTGGACATGGAGATGGCGCAGGACAGGAATGATTTGAGAAAGAAGACCAGGAACATATGGGGAAAATGCCAACATGGGGAAAATGCCAAGATGTAGAATTTCGACTTAAAGCTTTCGTGACTGCAGGAATTCATATTCTTTGGGTCTTTCGGTAAGTCGCGTAGATAGGCTCAAAGAAAATAACAAAAAGCTACGACGTTTCGATGGCAACACAAGCGGTTGAAACGTCGTAGGTTTTGGTTATTTTCTTTGAACCTATCTACGTGACTTTACCGAAAGACCCAAAGAATAGTTAGAATTTTATTCAATTCAATATGGTTTAAATCATGATTGCCGAGTACAGGGGCCCAATGGCCCAACCAATGGCCAGAAACAAACAGCACTTGAAGATTTGAGGGTATAATAGAGTGAATACATTTCTTGAATTGAGCAAGGTTATAAAATATTGGGAAGAGAGATGATGGGAGATAATTCCAAAGTCGAGGCATGCGAGGAATGAAACAAAGTGGAATGTTTTAGCCTGCAGCATGGTGGTTGAACACACTACGGATGAGATAAAACAGTCTGGTAGAGTCCTCGACATGGGTGGACAAATCAGTGAGTGAAGTTATCATCAATTGACCCCGTAAGATTAAGCATATATGTATGTATATTGAACTTTTCCCACACCTTACGTAGGCCGACCGTGCTAATCAGAGGTGTGGGGGAAGGACAACAAACTAAACACAAAGCAGTTTGAAAGAAATGAGTTTTCAATATAGATTTAAAAGTGCATGGCTGCAGTGGCTTCCTATTATCGGAAGGAAGAGCAGACACCAAACAGCCAAGATGTTACAGTTCTCTTTAATTTGGAGTACTGTCGCACATCCACACCTCTCATCTTTCTCGCAGCTGAAAGCTCAGAGGAGCAGGAAGTGCTGGAGGAGGCGCGTGCAGAAGTGGCACGGGGCTTGCGCCACGCAGAGCGCCGCCGCACTCTGTCGGCGCAGCTGGGCTCGCTGTCTGGTGGGCTGCTGCTCCTCCAGGTGGTGGCACTGGTGGCCTCCACCCTGCGGTGGATGCTCATCTCGGTCTCCCAGCCGGACGATCCTGGGCTCTCGTCAACGCTCTTTTGCTCATCGGAGTTGGGCATGAGCGCGCTGGCCACCGCAGTCGTCGCACTCGTCATGTACATTCTCTTCTCGGCCGAGAGCAAGGCCCTGCGCGGTGCCGAAGAGGAGATCAAGACCAAGATCAGTCGGAGGGGGGCTGATCCATAAGGCCTGAAATCTGTGATGAAGTAAAAACACATTGCCGAACGATGTAGCGGGTTACGTACTCACAGCTGAACCTGCCTCGTTTAAAAAAAAAAAAAAGCATCGCACATCATGAGTTAATAGAGTGGTAAAAATGTAAGTGAATGATGACATTCCATAGGCAAGCAGCAGCAAAATGAATTATGCACTGCTTTAACACATGCTAAAATATTGTGTTATTGTGCTTACCCATCATACATATATAGTATACTTACGTAGAAAACTAACATTTTCCCCATTTTGCTATGACATGTACTATTTGCGAGCGCCTATTTAATGATGCCTTAGTCTGTGCTGTTCCAATAACGTTGCATAACTCTGTGATTGGCCGTCAAGGCTAGCTTGCCGAAGTTGTGGTACAGGGAATTCACCACCATTGCCACTTGCCCAAAAGGGCTGTTGTCTGTGTAGAGGTGTTAACTACTCACTGTTTGGTAACCTGCATTGCCACTAGGTATCAAAGGGGCAGTGCAGCATTACCTCTGTGTACATAACGCTTGGGGTCAGACGAGGTGAAGTCACCAAATATATACATTTCATATATACGTGTTCATCTGTTGCGCAATACATGTTTCATTCACATATAGACCTTTGACATGAAAATAGACGCAAAATGCACTTAGTATTTTTTGTGTAGAAGCTTATTAGTTAGAGGCTTATCAATTACTGTATTCAGTTCAGACTGAAACTAGACAGAATATTTTGACTTGATTTATAATTTTGCATTGACGAGCAAAAAAATATTTAAAACTATAATTGAAGTTTTGTATACTCAAATCATGTGACATAACTAAATTATTACACTCCATTAATGTGCAATAGCCTGAACCAACATTTAAATAGGCTCTTGATTAGCTCAACATTAAGGAGCTTTCGACTGAAGGGATTTAACGATGGTACTTGAAATTGTTTAATTGCACTTGAAAATTCGGAATAATTGTCTCTGCTGAAGGTTTGCCGGTATACGTCTGTTTGTTCATATGGAAAGACTGCCTTTTAGAATAGTATCCTGTTTGAAGCATGTAGATATTTATGAAATCATATCTTACAAACCCCACCGATGAATGAAGGCCTTCTCATTCCATGTCGATCATGAGGATTGTTCGACTATACTTCACCATGCTGGTCAATGTGAGTTGATGAAGAGGGTACCCAGGAACAATTCAGGTATCACTCCCCATGGATGTTAGCCATAGCTGGGAATCCACTTCATTTTGCCAGGTACATAGTGCAGTGGGCTAATCGCAACACAATGCTCCATCGATAAAACGTTTATCCGTATGGCGATGTATTTCAGATTGAATACATTTAGCTGCATCAAAAGACTTTGGTGTGACCTGATAATACAAATGTGAAGCCCATTATGTATATTGAAAGTGTAGAAGAGCGTTTTAGATTTTCAATATTGGATTTAATTTCATGGAGGGGGAAAAAACACCAAATGATGGGAGTTGTAAATATTTTGGGGTTGCACTACAAAACCCCGTTTATGTTTGCAGCTCTCTTGTTAAGAACTGAAGATGTACAGGATCCCTTAAGACTGCACCTGGTTATGTTTAGGCCAGTCATTTGACCCAAAAATGTGTTTCTATCAGTAGAAATGTTAGAGTGTCTACAACAACAGCGTTTGAATGATTACATTCAACAGATTACCACCAAGTTCAATGTGTGAAATCTTAAATGATAGGAGTTGTTAATATTCAAATGCACATTTAATTGTTAGGTATGTTGCTGTATAATTTAAACATTTGCAAATTAAAATTACCGTTGGACTGGACTTGCGTGGATTGATGTTTAATCGTTTGCACGTTGTATCCTAAGGGACATTTTGATTTAGCCTCAATGAACAGCACGTGAGACACTGCGTTTAAAATAGAAAATTATATTCTGTAATTTGATGAACGTGTGATATTATTGTGTATACATATACGGTCATTTAGTCCAGAGGTGACGTTTAAAGTCATGGGGGTTGTTTGACCATACTTCGCCACGTTGGTTACCGTCCAAAATGTGTTTTGCCGCACCGCCCTCTGCTGGACAACAGTCCGACAAGTTTCGAGAGCACGATTTGCTATGCATGGAAGCTGCTCATCCAATAACTTATTCAGGCTCCAAACCTGTTGAACCTTTAAGACGTGACAACTTCGGGGTGACTAGGTGATTTGTCATACGAAATTATATTTGTGCATTATTATAGTTGTTTTGTAGAGTGATTGACATTCAAAAGCATGATTTATGGGGAGTTCCCTTTGACAAGTCACCAGTCACTTCCCGTGGAATGTGCAGGGTCTGGTCATCTGTATTGCACTAGGTGGCGCAAAAGTCCCAACTTTACTCCGATGTTGCATGCATTAGCCATGATCAATTTACTGACGGCTGGTGTTCGTTGGTTCCAATGTAAGTGCCATTGAAAGGTGTCCGTTAAAGTAATGACCAGTGTTACGCCGATTTTAAACAGCCAGTTTCTCTTGTAAGGCAGTTCTCGTTTTAAATGATAAATGCTTGGTTTAAAATTGTTGTAGCATATATTTGTGGAAGCGGTGGCCAATTATCACGAAAAAGTATAAACATGGAGTACTATCACAAGAATAGTTGTACGCATATGATAGTCCTGTATTGTCCTAAGATCCAGTTTTCAAACCACGTATGTCACCACTGGTACAAACAGTAGTTTATCTGTATAGCGGCCAATGCAATATTGGATGCAGACCTCATGCCACAGTTCATGATTTAGCGGTGCAACAATCCACACCAAACTAATGCCTGCCTACAAGCCAATTTCATCACTCCATCACCTCAATTCATGCGGTCTTGAGCAGGTTCCATGAGTTGGCTCCGTCATTCTTGATCATCGGTCATCCTCCCAGCCCACCTACTTTCCTTAAGCTTGAATTAATACATATCTTTAATTTGCATGTTCTCCCATCCATGCGTTCCACTGTCTAACAATATTATTACAAGTACCTCATTCATCTTAACATGCATCTTTGCTCACTTTTCAGTGCCATACAGTATATGCATTATCTACTCGTATGACACGTATTCATCAGCTCATGATACGTGTATAATTGTGCAATGTTTTTTTTTATTGGAACGGGTTTACAGGACCCTGTAGTCACAGGTGAATTCCACATTTACCATCGTATACTGTACCAAAAAATTGCAACCTTTTACAACTCGTTAAATCACCAGGGAGAATGTAAGTATTTACACATCTGTTCAGCTTATTGCACACAACCGACCAGGTGACCCAACCACGAGTCGCCCGCAAAAAGGATGAGTCCAAATCGTGATTAGGGCTACCTACCCCATAATCCCTTTTTCAATGATGCACCACATTTTGCGAATCAGTAGCCCTATGGATAACACCACCATCGGAATTCACATCGATGGTTCAGCACTTCAGACAGTTGAGCACCACGTGATTTTCAGCATTTGCTGAGACCATCTATTTTCTCAACTTCCCTACCCAGACTCGATCATCAGTAACCACGTTTCACTTTCATCATTATTTCACAGATCATATCAATGTACCACCATCCTTCTCAACTCAACTTACTATTCTGTTGTACAAATTAATTACTTGAAGTGCCATAATTAAGGTGCTTATACATTAACATGATAGTATTGCAAGTGAATATCTATGAAAAAAAGATCACGCATTAGTGTGGTTTTAAACGAGTTTAATGACGCAGGCACGCTCAGATATTCCATTTCTTGCAAAGGGTACAGCAATGCAGATTACGTCCTTGGGTTCAGCCTTATGTTTCAAAACGTGTGGGCATTTTCCACCACGTACGTCTATAGCACAGTTAACAGTACTTATAACTTTGTGTTGCATGTAGTTACAGAGCAAAGCACAGTCAGTGGAGAGCATTAGTCAGTTAAAAGACTGCACAAACACATGATAACAAGTGCACATGCTCAACCAGTGGTATTGCAAACACTGAATGCGTGAAATATACTGACCAATCACATTTAATTACCACTTCTAAATGTTGATCACATTTATTTATTAAGATGTTAAGCTTATCACATTGGACACATTGACAAACATGAGTAGGTTTAAAAAATATGCACAGCCATTGTTAAATGGACCAAGAGCAAGCCAACACTCAAAGTTCATTGCAAATTGGTGATTCATTCTGTTAATTGGATAACTATTTACGTTGGCGTGAGAACGGCAAGGTCAACAACATTGATGCAAACTTTGTTTCCAGTACAGCACTCAAATAAAGTTTGTGAAAATGTTCAGACATTTAACGTTTGTGTCACTACTTCTGCTGTTACAAGGGCACACAAGGTATACACATGAACATTCAAAAGGTTTGTGGTGACAAACGATTACACTGGAAGCCTAACACACAATGTGCAAAGCTGTGCTCACTTAGGCTTAGGGAAGTATATATGCCTAGCAGTGCCAAAGCCAGAAATGTTTCCTTTCTAGATTCAAATGCCCGACGCTCAACATTATAGAACGTCGAGTTTTGCGACTCCCGTTTTAGAAGGTGAGCTCTTTCTGCACATTCCAGAGGGTCTCTGCACTCTTCTGAACCTGAGCCTCCTCTTCTTTCTTCAGGGTCTGGTTGATGATGTCAGTGATGCCCTCAGAGCCCAGCACACAGGGCAGGCTGAGGAAAACATCATCGTGGACTCCGTGCTGACCCTGCAACAAAAAGTGCAAACGCGTATTGGATATGGCAGCACTCAGAAGAGGTCTAAGACATCCAGACCACGTGAATACATCTATCAATAATCATTGCCAACATAATAATAAAACACAGCAGTGTGTGTGTGTAGTTATCATGCAATTGCTAGTTTTGTTCTCACTTAATGTGGAAAACTAACAAACTCCGATTAGACAATTAAAGTGTCCTTATAAATCCACATAAATGCAAACAAGGCAACCACATGAGCAAAGTTTAAGGAGACACTGAAAACATTCCATCTAGTGTCTCTGGCACAGCCAACGTGGCTTACAGAGGTGGTGTGTGGTGCCGCATTAATTATACGAGTATTACCTTGCAATGCGTGGAGACGGGGTGCACACGGCGCAAATTCTTCAGGATCGTCTCTGCAAGGTCGGCCACGCTCAGGCCAATGGCCCAGGAGGTGTAGCCCTTCAGCTTGATGACCTCGTAGGCACTAAAAAAAAACGTCCTAAGTGGTCAATATGCTGTGCACAAAGAATCACTCTTGACTTTAAATATTACTCAGCAGAACATACCTTTTCAAACATATCCTTTATACATTCATTACATTTTGACACAAGTCATAAATGTTATACATGAAAATAAAATGTTACCAATTGATTCAAGTTTTTTAACTGCATATTTTAGAGTCTTTGTGTGTGCATCATTACATGTATAGAATTTTCAAGCACACGGATGTTAAATGTGCATAGTTAGCAGAAGCCTACCTGTCCACCACCTGCTTGTGCACAGACTTCCAGTCCTCACCATCCTTGGGCGTGCCGATGTCAGGGTTCAGGGACTGCAGGCCAACCCCGGCCACGTTCACGCCACTCCAAACAGGCACTTGCAGAACACAAGCAAAGCATGCTCACAATGATTAAAATACATATTGAATCATTTTAATTTTTATAATTCAATGAATAGGTGCAAAGGATGACATAAAACATAAGAGATTGTGTTTTCTTCTCTTGTACATTAAAACTCACAAATTTTAATGCAAAAGTTGTGACATTAAGTAATCTAGATGGGGGTAAACACACAATCCTAAAATCAATATTAGCTATATCACAATGAGCCTCATTCCAGCCACACAAGAAATTTAACTGTACGTTACAGCCCTTTATCAATTCACTGCTGGACAAAGACATCCCAACACCATGGACGTTATTTCATCAAACTTGGAGGGGTGAAGTGGGGGTGAGTACCAAATACTGGTTCAGATGTAACTGCCACAATAACGTTCGCCAGTTCCGCGAATAGAACCAAGGTGGCCGGGTTCCAAAAGGTAGTGTCACTGCTCCTAATAATGAATATAAAATGTAATTGCTTGCTTGCAGTTGTGGGAGACCAGCCATTTTCTTACCGCTGGAGTCACCGTGCTCGCCGATGATCCAGCCATGGCAGCTGGCAGAGTTGACGCCCAGGCGCTCGCTCATCAGGTAGCGGAAGCGAGCAGAATCCAGATTGCAGCCACTGCCGATGACGCGATGTTTGGGCAGCCCGCTCAGCTTCCACGCCACGTAGGTCAAGATGTCCACTGTCACGCACAAGGGAGAAAATGCTGTGAGCTCCAGTTGAAAAAGAAAATGTATAAAGACTAACCGCTTCAATCCACGGTGATCATTATGCAGTGTCAAATCGTGATCGCAAAAATGTATCGTGTAGGGATTGTGAAAACAAAATTACTCATTATCCTACCTCTTGTGACTCAAAGCAATGGAGACTAAAATAAATAGCCGGGTACAAAGAAACAAGTGAACAATTTACTAAGAGCATGAGGTTGCCATCTCGCCACTCTTTGTAGGGCCTCACCGGGGTTGGAGACGACAAGGAGGATGCAGTTGGGGCTGTACTTGACGATGTTGGGGATGATGAACTTGAAAATGTTGACGTTGCGCTGCACGAGGTTGAGGCGGCTCTCGCCCTCCTGCTGGCGCGCACCCGCGGTCACGACCACGAGGCGGGAGCCAGCCGTCACCGAGTAATCTACACAAGCACCCGCAAGTGTCACTCGCAAATGCATGGTCCATCAAGGAATACAACCTTGGCAAATATATATTTTACTTCCAAAAAAAACACTGAT